AAAAAAAAAAAGAAAGAAAGAAAGATTTTTTTTAAATCTGTTTAAAAAGTAAACGGTTTATTTGCTATCAACCTGTTTTTTTTAATACAGCCCACTTTAAATTAAACAATGATCAACCAGTTCAGAAAGAGGTTCAGTTCTTTCTAAATGGAAATATTTAACTTAACTTTTTAAATTGACATCTCAAAGTAATATTACTTGTGTCAGAATTAGCAAGAAACTTAGATCCAGTGACCCCCAAACTTATGACCCCAAGTTTAGTTGGTTTTGATTTTGTGGGGTTCTTTTTTTAAGTCTTAGTGATAAAATGATATTTTGGGAAAAAAAAGTAATAATTTCTGATTTTTAATGCAATCATCTTTTCTTCTTTGTTCTATTTATAGTAGTTGAATTGTTATGATAGTAATTGTTGTTTCTATAAAATGCTACTAATTTATGAACAATTAGAAGAAAATTAGAGTTAGAATTACATATAATGAGCTAATGATGGTTATTTTCTAGGATCTTTATGTGTGTTTTCTACACAAAATGGAAATTTGATTGTCAGTGGTTTCAGGTTTCAGATATTTGAGTTAATAGCACAAAACCTCAAACTCTTGGGCTCAGGTGATCCCCTTGGCTCAGCCTCCCCAGAACCTGAGACTACAGGCATCCCCCTACCACACCCAGCTACTTTTTCTATTTTTTCCTTTTTTAGTAGAGATGGGGGTCTTTTTCTTCCTCAGGCTGGTCTCAAACTCCTGAGCTCAAGCAATCCACCCTCCTCAGCCTCCCATAGTGCTAGGATTACAGGTATGAGCCACCATGCCCAGCTTGATAAGAGTATTTTTTAGATTATCTCCTTTCTTTATTATCATTTCACTTCTCTACCAGCTGAACTGAGTTGGGAGGTTACCTATGTATAGAACTTAACTCCGAAGTCTATCCCCTTATGTTTACCTATCTGTGTCTGTTATTGGCCATATGAAATTCCAAATGTAGACAGTGTTGACATTTTCGATTATGAGGCAGAGACATTTTTAAATTAGTTGGTTTCAGACCACAGAATATGCTGAAAACCACTGTTGTTCTGGGATTTTTGTTAAGCTTTTATCTTAGGAATAATATTTAGTTCAGTGATTATAAATAGAGGCCTGGCAGTATTTATTCTGAAAAGTCCCTATAATTTTGACCTGTCCTTCCTCTTTTTGTTTGTTTGGGGGGAAAAAAGAGGCTGTGATTGAAAGTGAAACACATTTATGATTCCACATGGTACATTTTCTTGCTTCCAGTACCATCCTCCAAAGTGCAGCAGAAAAGGGATTTTTTTCTACTCCTTTGTAAATAGCTTATTTGTCTGTTATTAGGGTCATATAAGAATGAGAATGATACCATCAAAATCTGTTAGTAAGTCCTGCAGGAGAATATTCCAGATGTTCCCCTACAACCTCTTGCTGGCAAATGATTAAATGTAGTACTGATAGATTATAAACAAATAGGAATTTTAAGTAATTCTCATAAAATTATATTGTTCATGATGGTTAGATTTAAAGAATTCCGTTCTTCTAGAAACTTTGAAGTTTCCATGATTTTTTTTTTTTGATTAATTAGTACCTTTCTGTCCCTATTCTGTGCCACTGTGCACTGTGCAGAGATAGGCTTGGTAGCTAATGCATTGCCACCTGAATTGTGCCTATTTAATACCAAAGAAAGGTATAACAAAAAGTAGTTAAAAAGTAAAAAACTAGTTCCTAACATGAAATGTTTACTTTATAATTTCTTGATTTTATGTTAAAGGGACACGTGATTTGGTATACTTAATTTTTCACCAAGGTATTTTGAAATTGGCTTTAAAATTATTTACAAAATATTGGTATTTGTTATAAAAGTTCAAATAAAGCTATAGCCTTGAGTATTTTTGTTGATTTATGAGACAGTAAAGAAATCAATTGAATTGAAACTGGGTTTATTCAAGTAAGTGGCTAATGCAGTGGCCTTGTGTCATTTCATCGCTCTGTAACAGGCAACACGCGAATGATGAATACAGTCAAATACTTGCCAGAAATTAGGATTTCTAACTAGCTGAATTTTAAGTTTCTTAGCATTTTAATACCTTTTAATATGGACACAAACCTGTTCGAATGCTAAGAAGCCTTTATATTGTTCTTACATGCTCTAGCCTTATAGATGTGAAAAATGCTATGAGGCATATAAATGCCAAAGTTTCATAAAATAATTTATTGCTCTTTGGTTTCAGACCATTGTTCAAATTAATAAAGAATTATTCAGGAAAAAATGAAAGAATATATACATAAGTATATATATGTGTACTTTATAATAAAAGGACTCTCTTCCTAACATGCCTTTTTGGAAACTGTCTACTTCCTCTTCTCCAACCCAACCCAACCCCCTTTATTTAAACAGACCAAAGAAGAAAGAGAGATTTCTGAAAAAATTATATTTTTGCAGCAAGGAGGCTCTCCATTCCTTGAGTCCCAGGTAAAAAACAAACATAAAGGATCTTCCAAAGGAATTGCTCTTCAGAATTCAGTGTTACTAATATGCCTTTAGTTTTTATTTTTAAACTTGTCTTGTTTAATAGTAAGGTAGGTATATGATTCTGACTTAGGTTCTGGGGAAGGAAAAATGGAATTTTCTTAATATGGTGGTAATCAGTTATATATCATTTCTGGCTGCTGCTCCTAGCTGATTTTACCCAGATTTTGTCATTGAAGCCTCATGACTATACTTTCTCATAATAATCTTCCTGAAATGTTTTACTGTTTTTGCTCATAGAAAACAGTTGACTGTTTTTGCTTGTAGAATGGTGCTAACTTACATGGCATGGATTGATTTCGAAAGTTCTGAACTTTTATTGGTTTTCTCACTAGCCGGATGTGATAAAGAAAACACAGGAAGGCGACTCTGCTGACGCTATGGTCACTTCTCGTCAAATAATTTTCCAGAAAACTGTCCCATCGACCCTAGAGGTTATTTTTTCAATTCATTTCATTTCACCCAGCACTACCATGTAGGTCAGTCTGAAACCACTTTCCTTAAGGCACACATGTTTCTAGATTCAAGTTTTTAGGCCATGGGAAATACAAAAGTAAAAAACATCTGAGTTTAAAATGTCAACCAAGGTGTTCCCCTGCTCCTGCTTTGATATCTCTTTCTTCTGTGACCTGTTAGGCTTGTCACCCACCTGGTCACATCCTGTCAGGCCTCACCAAATAGAGGTTTCTTAACTTTCATTTCTTCTGTCTTATTGGAGCTAATACTAAGGAAAGTGGGAAAGAAACAGCTTCAACAATTAACTTCAGCTATAAATGAGGTTGGAACTCAGTACAGATCAGTGAGGCTCCAACAGTGTCCCACCAACAGGAAGTATTTTAACACAGTGCCTTGGACACGGGCACACTCAGTATTTCTTAGTGAGTAAGTGCTATAGTGGATTCAGTTTCCTATGTAAGGAAGTACAATTACAGATATGGAAATGGCATTTACAGAAATTTGTAGAATGTTGGCAAGTTTATTGAAAGAAGAACAGTATTTGAAATCTAGTGGTATGTTTAATGTAGAAAACTGTCTACACGTCAAGCTAAAGTAGTTTTACGGCGACTTCAATGATGTTCTTTAATCTTGAAGTATAAAATGATCAGAACTTTATCATAAGATCAAATATATTTCTTGCCAAATTTACTATCAAAGCATGTTACCTATATAAAGAAATCTGAGGCTTGGTACCCGTAGCACAGTGGTTACAGTGCCAGCCACATACACTGAGGGTGGTGGGTTCGAACCCAACCTGGACCAAGTAAACAACTGCAACAAAAAAATAGCCAGGCGTTGTGGTGGGCACCTGTGGCCCCAGCTACTTGGGAGGCTGAGGCAAAAGAATTACTTAAGCCCAAGAGTTGGAGTTTGCTGTGAGCTGTGACGCCATGGCACTCTACCAGGAGCGACAGAGTGAGACTCTGTCTCAAAAGAAAGAAAGAAAGAGAGGAAAAGAAAAGAAATCCAAACATGCAGCTATACCTGCAGAATGTATTCTGAGATGAAGGTTATAGATTATAAGTTTCAGAGGAGAAGAAATTAGAGTCATAATTATTAGATAACAACGCCAGCCCTGTGCAGCCCATCACAGACCTATGTGTAGCTCTTGCCCTGATTTTATTAAAGGATTCTTATTTTAGAAATGAGATGCCATCAGAATTTCTAATTTAGCTTTTATATTTCAAATATAGGGCACAGAGGATTGGGTTATTGTAGACAAAATACCCACTGAGGTAGTTGATGGTGATTCGAGAAAGATTGTGACTTACAAAGTGGTGACAGTGAGCAGAACTGGTGACCTCCCGGCTGACATGTTAAAATCTGATGCTGTTAAAATGCATAGCTTCGAAGACTTGGCTAGAGAGCTGCAGCTGAAAGAAGATAGCAAGCAGAAAATATACACTCTAGGGAAATCCTATGACACTGTCTCCGGAAGGATTGTCACTATGACTGGGAAGGCCAAAGATGGGGAAAGAGTGGTGTCGCCCTCCACCCTGGAAGCTCTTCAGAAAATGGAGAGAGGAATGTCGGAGTCGGTGAAGGTCGCGCCCATCCTGGCACAATATGAGGCCCTGGAAGCCCTGGCTGATGAGAAATCCAAGAGAGGACCTGAGGTCCACACCCCAAAGCGGAGATTGTCAGAATCCCTGGCGCCCATCAAGGAAGCCGAGTCTCGGAGGCAGAGTCCTGAAGATGATGACCTCAGGAAGGCCCCCCTGCTGGGGAAGGATGTGGGTGTGCACCTGGGCCCAGAAACTGGACGGTATGGTAAAACGGAACAAGTGCTAGAAAGTGAGGCCTTAAAAGTGGGGCCCTTTGGCCCCCGAAGGAAGAGCCTGTCTGAGTGGAGATACTCCCAGGAACCGGCCTTCACTGTCGCTACGGCACATTACGTCACCGAGTCGTCGGCTTCCCGAGTCGTGGTAACCAGCGCCAGCATGACATCTTGGAGGCACTGCCCTTCCACCCCAGACCCTCCCGTTTCTCTCGCTTGGCTTTGTGTTGAGAGCCAACCAACCCAGCTTTTTGATTTTGTTCATGGTTATATCAGTACCGCAGTGCAAAGTCAGCATTCAAACACTTTCCATTTTATTTCCAGCTCCCCTTCCCTGAGATGTGATAGTGCTGCTGTGGCTTGCAATGAAGGAAAAAATAGGATCTGCTTAAACCGGCGCCACCCCGGTCCCAGTAACTCTCTGCTTTACCAAACAAGAGCTCCTGGTCACTCCAGTTTGCTGTTTTATTTCCCATTCTTTTTCTGTTTTCCAACTCTGTATTTGAGATTCCTTCATCCCTCCTCCCTCTTCCCTCTGCCTACAGCTGTCTAACAAGCTGCAAATGTGTGTGTGCCGGGTTTGTGTGCGTCTCTCGTGCTTGACTCTGCCTTTCTCTGCCCACTCAGACTAAGCAGTCTTCCGGCGAAAAGCTCATGGATGGCTCCGAAATCTTCAGTTTGTTAGAGTCTGCGCGAAAACCGACAGAGTTCATAGGAGGGGTTGCGTCCACTTCTCAGAGCTGGGTTCAGGTGGTCATTTGTTCATTTTTGATGTTTCTGAGTGCGCTCACTTGCTTTCTCTTGTGCCTTTTGGCTGTGTGCGTGTGTTACCTCCAAGCGGCTTTGTCTGTAACACCCCCCCGCAAAGTGTTTTCAGTTACTGTCCTTTGTGCCCCCCTGGAGTATCTGTCATACTCCAAGAAGTATCTGTGCCTTTAGTTCCATTTCAAGATATATTTCAGATACTCAGAAGGCAAGCATGTTGAGAAATTTTAATAGCATTTAATTCTTACAAGCATTTTATCTCACCACTTGAGTCTAAGAAAATGACCAAAAATAATGTGAACGCGCTACGATGCTTTCATTTCTTTTATTTGCGTTTTTTTGCTGCATTCTGTTTCTTTTGCGGCAGGGCTTTGGTGTGTGTCTGGGCAGGCAGCAAAAGTCCTGGTGGGAGGGACAAAAGCTAATTTATATTTTCCATCAGCATTTCTGGTCATAAGCACTTGGTACTGGCTTTAGGCATCCTGTCCAATGGTGGCCTTAGTTATTTTTCAACCTTTGATTTATGAAAAGTCACACTGACACCATAGTCTTTTCCCATGCAGAAAATGGAAACCAAAACGGAGCCCAGTGGAATAGAGCCAAAACTCGCCTCGCACCCCCAGCCGCCGGGCGCTGAGAAGCTGGTGCAGGAGGCCGCTCTGGTGGAGGAGAGGCGGGTGATGGAGGTGCGCGCCAGCGGGGACGCTTCCTGCGTGGCTGGGGACGACGCGGATGCCGCAGCACAGCCAGGGGATGCTTCCAGCATCAGAGGGAAGGAGGGCTCCTCTCTGACTGAGGAGCCTAAAGAGGAAAGGGGGGAGGAGGCCAAGAAAGCCGCTCTGGGACAGGAGGAGACAGCCACTGCGTCGCGCGAGCGGCAGGAGGATCAGAGCGTAGCCCTCCACGTTGCTGAGCCTGTGGAACAAAAGGCTCATTTTGAGGTAACACTAGTTATTATTACTTTTAGCACTTAAGTAACCCTGAGATAGGATGTCTGGGAGTTGAGATCGGCAGAAAGGAGGAGCTAAGGTTCGTTTTCTACCTTTTTTCTCCTTGTACAATTCGTTTCTCCTCTTCCTTCCAGGGTGGCAGTTAGGGGTCTCTGCTGGTTTCCAACTTTGGCGTCACATGCAGACACATCTCCTGATTATTAATAATATATTGCTCCAGGAAATGGTGTCTACCCAAATTGAAATTGTTGTCATTGACAGTAACCCTGGGGAATGCATGGTCGGTGGAAATATTAGAAAATTTGATAAATTTATTTCTGATCAATGTATTTATCCAGAAGGATGAAAAACTAAGCTTGCTACATACCAGCTCCCTCTATTCATTATTCTCTTTTATTGAGATCGCTAAAGTGTTTGGGGGAGTTAATAGCATATTACTTGTTTCCACTAAGAAGTTATTAATTGCGCTTATTTATAGTTGGTTTTATTTTTATTTTTTGCAGTTTTTGCCCAGGGCTGGGTTTGAGCCCACCACCTCCGGTATATGGGGCCAGCGCCCTATTCCTTTGAGTCACAGGCGCAGCCCAATAGCTTTTTGTTAATTACGATTTTCTTCAAAATGTTTTCCTTGGCTCAGTGCCTATAGCTCAACGGGCTAAGGCACCAGCCACGTACACCTAAGGTGGCGGGTTCGAATTCCCAGCCCGGACCCGCCAAAACAACAATGAGGGCGGCAACCAAAAAATGGCCTGGCGTTGTGGCGGGCGCCTGTGGTCCCAGCTACTTGGGAGGTGGAGGCAGGAGACTCGCTTGAGCCCAGGAGTTGGAGGTTGCTGTGAGCTATAATGCCACGGCACTCTACCCAGGGGGACAGTTTGAGGCTCTGTCTCAAAAAAAAAAAAAAAAAAAAAATGTTTTCCTTTACTTGAAGCCATCCATATAAAAGAAGTTATGGAGTCTTGGTAGACTCCACATCCTACGTATATGTCATATGCCTGATTCGCCAACTTACTTCCCACTTAAACATTTATTATATACTGACCTGTGCTTGTACCCGCCAAAAAGGAAAGAAGGGTAAAAAACAAAACTGAATTTGCACTAACTGTAAGCACCACTGTACTTTCTTCCCATTGGCACAGTCATCAACTGTGAAGACAGAAACGATAAGTTTTGGTAGTATTTCCCCAGGAGGAGTGAAGCTAGAAATTTCTACCAAGGAGGTGCCAGTCGTTCACACTGAAACAAAAACCATCACATATGAATCATCACAGGTAAGACAATCTGTGAAGACCAGCAGCCCTGGCACTCCATCTTATCCTTTTTTATGGCTTAAGGCATTTACATATAACCACATGATACTTAATTCATGAGACTCACAGGATCCAGCAGCCAGACTGTCTCTATTAAGAGCAATCCAAGAATTGTAATTTTATTACTGATTGTGGGGCAGCAGTATTCATATATCTCAAGATAGAGAAAAAAAGGCTCAGAAACCTATTACCCTAGCCACAGAGGAGGGGGAAATACTCAGCCATCCACTGCTCACATTCTAAAGTCCTAGTGTTTTAAGTAACAGTGAACTCTGGTTGCACTTAGCTGCCACTCTTGGCAGCAGCTCCCAGACTGATTAAACAGTGCAGGGACCATGGTTGATAATGAAATCATCAGAATGCCTCGAGTAGCACAGGAAGGGTAAGCACTGGGTGAAGTGTCTGTCCCTGCTTGCTCAGGTCGATCCTGGCACTGATCTGGAGCCGGGTGTGCTGATGAGCGCGCAGACGATCACTTCGGAAACCACCAGCACCACCACCACCACACACATCACCAAAGTAAGTGGACTGGGAAGCCAGCGGGAACCCTGGTGTGCCGGAGAGAGGTGCCATTCAGAGCCTGCAGGGCATCCACACTCGGGATGCCAGGAAGGCTGCAACTTCCGAGTTGATAACAATTTGACTTGTCCTCCCTATGCGGGAGTTTCTCTTTAGGAGCATAACATTCTTTTTTTTTTTTTTTTTTGAGACAGAGTTTTATTTTGTTACCCTCAGTAGAATGCTGTAATGTCATACTGCACAGCAACCTCAAACTTTTGGACTCAAGATATCCTTTTGCCTCAGCTTCCTGAGTAGCTGGGACTACAGGTGCCCACCACAATGCCTGGCTAGTTTTTCTATTTGTAGTAGGGTCTGGCTCTTGCTCAGGCTGGTCTCGAACTCATGAGCTCAAGCAAACCACCCACCTTGATCTCCCAGAGTGCTGGGATTGCAGGCATGAGCTGCCGCACCTGGCCTTAGGAATGTAACATTCTGATTGCCTGTGCTTAATGCTTTCTGTAGCACTTGCCATGTGGTAGGTGTTTCAGAAGCACCTGCCGTCCAATCCCAGAGGACTCCACTGTGTCCTCACTTCTGAAATTGAAATACTAAATAACCGCTGTAGAATTCTTCCCATTCTTGAAGAGCGAGTGATGTTACACTGCCACCACTTTCTTCCACTTACCCCAATCAGACTGTGATTGTTTCTCCCTGTAAGTTCATCAAACTTTTCTTTGTTTCTTCCAGACTGTAAAAGGAGGCATTTCTGAGACAAGAATTGAAAAGCGAATAGTCATCACGGGAGATGCAGACATTGACCATGACCAGGTAGTATGTATGAGACAATAGATACCCAGGCAGAGAGATGAGGAAAAACCTATCGGCCCTCTGATGCCCAATGCAATTCTTCTAGTCCAGCACATATTCTAAAAAAAATTCTGAATTAGCTTTCCAGTATATGATTATGATCATAATCCCTTCTGTGATCCTGTCCCTCATTTGTAAATTGTGGGTGTAGATTAGCTCGTCAGTCTCCACCTCGCTACTGATCATGCATGTTCCTCCTCCTTTCTGTTTCTGCCCTTCTGTGATTTCCTGGGGATAGGCGCTGGCTCAGGCAATTAAAGAGGCCAAAGAGCAGCACCCTGACATGTCAGTGACCAAAGTAGTGGTCCATAAAGAGACAGAGATCACGCCCGAAGATGGAGAGGATTGACAGAGGTAAGAGGAGGTACCGATTCTCTAGGCTTCCCAGGCTGGCATGTGGCATGGGCTGTTTCCTCTCATCTTTCACCTAATCCCACGCCCCTTTTTTCTCTCACTGGCATTTGTAGAGCTGGTTACCAAGAGGGTGGAAAATTGGTTTGCGGGTGCCCGTTTGTCTCACATTCGGAGGTTCCATGCTTGTGGGGCTTTTGCACACCTACTGCCAGTCGGAGGACAAAGGAAAAGCAGAGTCTTTGCTCGGGTGGTCTCACGGGTCTTCCCTCCTGATCCACGCGCTGTGTTCTTTTCATTGTCCAAATGTCAAATTTGATTTCACTTGCCATGCGGCCTAATCAGAACTGAGGCACCTTTGTTCTGAGAGGTTCAATTTGTGTGTTCCAAATACCAGACAAATAGACCCCCTCACTCGTTTGATGGCAGTGCTACCCACTGTAAGCTTTCTCTTCAGCTGTGTTTGGTTATAGCTGGTTTATGCTTTGTGTTTTGTTTTGTATTTTAATTTTTGAAGCCTGAGCTCTTCTTTCTTTTTGGATGTCTCATATTTCCTGCATTCTTTGGGGTGATTTTTCTCCCTACTGTAACATTGGGTCTCAAGAGGAGGCAAAAATGCAGTCTCGTATTCCTCTGGGAAACGCTTGCCTTCCCAGTGGTGTTTGGCCTGTCTGTGCACGACTGTCACGCATACTGCCTTGCCCTGCAAGAACCCAGGGGCTGGAAGCGTTTCTGAGAAGCTTTGGATGCTGAATGCAGCAATTGAGCTACTTGCACACTTGCTGATGGGATAAGACATTTATGAGACTTAATGAGTTCTCTAAACTGGTTTAAGAAACATAGGTTGATGAGTGGCGTATGTTAAAGAAAAAAAAATAAAGGTCACTCTTTATATTCAACTTATAATATGTTTTGGAAGATAGAAAACAAAAAAAAGTGAACTTAGGCCACTTGGTAATATTGTAATTGCTTAAATGTGGTATCTTGCCAAAAAGCATTCTAAACCTCCAAGATAGTTTTTTTTTTTTTTGTGACCTTGAACTGAGAAAAACTTTGCAATGTTTTCAAATAGGTAACGAATCGAATCTCTTTCCTACAGGAATAACTTAGCTTGCACACGAATCTGGTCATGCAAACCATTAGGAAACCCCGAGCCGATGTGGAGTTCCCTCTTCTAACCCAACCATGGAAAATTTCAATCCAGAAGAATTGACCTTGACCATTAATAAAGACACGGGCAGAGAGATCTTCCCATAATAAAGCAATCCGAATCAGCATCACTAAACTGATATTGCATGAAGCAACGATAAAATTACAAAGAGCAGCATTTTTTAATTTTCACAAAATGTCTCAGTTTTCAGCTATACCTGCACGTTCATAACCAACAATATAAACCGTGATCTCATGTACCACATACACAATTCATGCCTTTCATAGTTTATTATTAAAGTTAAACAAAACCGCAGTTTCTTAGATGACAGATCTTTTGTTTACAGATAAATGAAGATTACCGTAAAATACTAGAAGCTGTCCAGGTCTGGTGTGTCAGATGTCCCCCAGATTAGATGTGCCAATAACCGACTTTATTCAGTGAACAACTTGAATCTTGACTTGTTTCATCTGGTTTTATTACTCTCACCCATGAACAGTAATGACTCTCTGACCCTCCAGAAATATTTAACGCTTACAGTCTTGCTTTGTGTATCTGATTTAATTCGACGAGGTAGTCCTGATTTTAGCATATTAATGAATGTGATTCCTTCCTATTGTCCGCTTTGGTCTGCATTCAGTCTGAACAGCTTTCCAGAGATCTCTAACAAGTCTAAATCTGTAAATTGTCATTATTTTGAGAAGAAAAAAACCCTGTATTTTTGTTAGTTTCCCATATTATGACATTTCTCTCCAGGAGACTCTGTTGGGTTTCTTTCTGTTGCTTTGTTTTCTTTCTTCATTTCTTTGTCCTTGCGTTTTTTAAGTTGATTTTTCTTCTTTTACTTGAAAGCAAAAAAAGTGTTTTGTTTCCAAATCTGGTTCATATTTACAACCTAGTTCAGAGCCAAGCCTTAAACTGTACAGAATTTCCACTGTAATTAAGACTATCTATGTTTAGTTATAAATAGCCTTCCAAAAAGATATATTCTCCATTACACTGTCACCTGCATCACAGCCCATGGTGAATGTATGTTTCTGCATAGCAAAATAAAAACGGTAAATGCACTGAAAGCTTAAGTTTCTATGCTTAGTAATTTCTGGATTGTGTGTGTTTAGCCCAGAGGATGACATCAAAGGCCTCCTTCATCTGCATTGTAGAGATATCCTATCTTTACCAGATTAAAAAAAAAATAGAGTAAACAGTATGCAGTGTATGGGCCCTTGGAGAGATTGAACATGGGAATAAAATATTTATATACACATGTTTGGTTGCCGACTATGGCTTTAAAGAGTGTATTGTTGACTCTCATTTTCGAAGTTTTACTCTTTTGATGTAAGAGGCTCTTCCATGAAACCCAGTGTTTCCAGGTGCTTCTACTCTACCAAAGAGACATCTATCAGACATCAGCTCTGTAGCTGAACAAATCACATGATGCCCTCTGCAAAGCCCAGTGCAGCCTGTCCCACTAGCACGTTCATGTCAACCTCCTCCCATGCCAGGGACTGAGACTCGGTCAGCCACTGCCAACCTCATGCCGCATTTGCTGCATTTCCCATGACATCGCACTTCATCTCACGTTCTTTTTTTAAAAAAAAACCTTTTTAATGGACACATAATAATTGTACATATTTATGGGGGACGTAGAATGTTTTGATCCATACAACATAGTGATAGGATCAGAGTAATTAGCATATCCATTATCTCATTGTCTATTTTTGATTAGGAAAGGTTAAATACTCTCCTTCTAGTTACTTGAAACTATAAGCTGTTAACTGTGGTTATCCCACAGTAGTATAGACCACTGGAATCTGTTCCTCCTGTTCAGCTGTAATGCTGTGTCCTTTAGCAAGTCTCTCCCTAGCCTTCCAAAAAGCTTTGATTTAAAACAAAAAACAAAACAAAACTTTCTTTCAGAAAATTCTTAGATTTGACCACGTATCTTGGTCTTATTGGAGGAATCAAATTCTTGTGATTTTTTTCTCTAAAGTAGTACTAGCTGGTACTTCACTGCAATACTAAGTATTCATTTTAGGAACCAAACTGTTTGTGGCCAGTTTGTTCAGCAAAGTTAACGCTTTATACGAAAATGTAAGAAACGCCCCAGGGATGCCTGTGCCAGGATCTGCTTGGCTTCTGTCTGTCCAGTTGTACCCTGTTAGCTGTTTATTACTAATAAACCAAAGATGTTTTCATGCTTCTTTATCCTCAGCAATAAGTGCCCTTTCATTTTTATAAAACCAGACGTTATCAAGCAAGCTGTTTCCAGCTTGCCTTTCCTCCTTTCTGTGCCCCTCAGAATTCTTCAGCTTCTTCCCACTTTGGGTTCCAAAGTCACTCCCACACCCTTAGGAGTCTGTGACCGCTGTGTCTCACTTCTAGTTCCAACATCTGTATCTGTCCTTTATTGTTGTATGACAGCAATAGGATCTGAGTCAACTGGGGTTGGGGCTTGACTGGGGATAGCGCCAACTCCAGGCCCCCAAGGTTGGTGGCAGGATTCATTCCCCTGTGCTTGTGGGACTCCTGGCAACCTGTTTCCTCAATGCCAGTAACAAGGGGGAAACGGTAGAGGGTGTCTGCTGGCAAGATGGTGCCCTGCATAAAGTCACAGAATCGGGGCTGTGGCCTCCCAGCTCCTTTACTGGGATCTGTTCATTAGACTCAAGTCATGATTCCTGCTCAGGGCATCAACAGCTTGAAAACTGAGATTTAGAGATTAGTCAGTCACTGTCTGACATTTCCTAATCTGGCAGTTTTAAAGCTGGATCACACGAATGTATAAAACTGGCCTGCACTTGGGAAACTCCTGGGTAATCCCTGGGGTGTTTCGCCATTACTACTAAGAATATGAAAAAGACCCCAGATGTTACATTTTCAGAAACAGAGGAATTCCACATCACATAACTATTCCCCTTTGCTTCACAATTTGCCCTATGATTGAGGTGTAGGATCAATAAAAAAAAAAATAAAGGTGCTCTTGAAAAAGCAGAAAAATGAACTACAAATCTAAAAGCATTATGGTCCCACTAATTGGTAACTTGCTATTCCATGCTAATCACAAAAGGATCTGCAGAAACCCAAGTTATGGTTTTACGAAACCTTTAAAAAGTGCATATTTTGGCTGGGTGCAGTGGCTCATTTCTGCAATCTCAGCACTCTGGGAGGCCGAGGTATGTGGATTGCTTGAGCTCAGGAGTTTGAGACCAGCCTGAGCAAGAGTAAGACCCTGTCGCTACTAAAAAATAGAAAAACTACTGGGGCTTGGTGGTGGGCACCCGTACTCCCAGCTACTCTGGAGACCGAGGCAAGAGGATCACTTGAGCCCAAAAGTTTGAGTTTGATGCCTCTGCACTCTACCCAGGGCAACAGAGTAAGACTCTATCTCAAAAAACTAAACTAAAATCTACATCGTAGAATGAATTGCTGAGTTCAGGGATGGCTTTGCTTCTAGTAATATGTTCCCTGCTTTCCATCCGGTGGTGCAGGACTGGGCTCAGCTTGGATAGTGAGTCGGGGCATCCTCCGTTCTCAGGGTAGGGTCACAGAAAGATCCGCCGTGATGCTGAGACATCCACTGCCACAGAGAGAGAGAGGAGGGCAGCTCTGATGATTGGGGATTTCACGTTTCACTTTCCCCCAAGGAATTCCTTATTCTAGTCTATAAGGTCTGACAATTAAGTTCACAAACTTGCCACCATGCACTTATGTCGGCAGCACTGTACAAACAGCTCGGTAAGGTTTCATAACCATGGTGCACCTGTGTCTCCCAACTGTGTGTGTGTGTGTACGTTTGGTGGCTTCTTGCCAAGTGGTGTTCATTGTTGCATGTTTTCGTGTGCTGTCATGAGAATGTTGGAGCATGAAATATAGCAACAAACAAACATTCAAAATTTCTAGGCTTAGCACCTGTGGCTCAAGTGGCTAAGGCGCCAGCCACGCACACCCAAGGTGGCGGGTTCAAATCCAGCCC